CGGGCCAATCAGATGAGGTGTCACACAGCAGGCAGGCTCACTGCACAGTCCTTGGTGCCATCTTGTTGTTTACAACATTCTCAACTCCTCTGGAAATTCCCAACCGTGGGAAAGCATTGCCCTAACCAAAACTAGCAACATTCTCCTTGTGATAAAGACACAGCAACAGCTATCAGACCGACCTTGACGTGGGGGCTCCATGGCTGTGCATCCCATGGAGCCCCACACATATATTTCCAAAAAGGCAAAGAGACTGAGACTGACAGTGATCTTCTAACTCCTGGGTCACTTCCCCGATGGCTACAAAAGATTCATCTGGGTCAGGTGACAGCCAGGTGCTTGGAATTCTGTCCAGCTGTCTAAATGGGAGTATTTGGAACTTCACCTACTGCCTCCCAGAGGGGTTTAGGCAGGAATATGACACTGGAACCAAACTAGGACACAGCACTAAGCATCCTGATATGGGAGCAGGAATCCCACAGGCTAACTCCAGTGCTGCTCCTGTCACCACCTCATCATCACTGCATGTACACAATTAATTTCTTCCCTTGGGATTCAGTTGCTTGAGATCATTCAACATTAAGAAATAGGCTCCTAATCATATGTATAATTAATCTTCAATTTATTTTAAGTATTTTATTTTAGAGACAGTGTTATATCAAGAGAAGAAGAGACCAACAGATGGATAGTGAGGCTTCTGTGCACTGGTTCACTTCGTGAATGGCTGCAAAGGCTGGGAAGGCTGAGCTGGAAACCAGGAGCTTGGAATTTCTTCCAGTTTCCCAAAGGGCTGGAAGGGGACAAACACTTGGGTCATGGTAGACAGTGATCACAATTGGACTTCTCCCTCTGTGAGAATAAGCTTGTGGACTGCACATATAACTAATGTCACATACTATGTGTCCACATCTACCTGGATTATTTCTGTTAGCACATTATGCTCCAGGCTGACCCACGTTTCCTAATGACAGAACAACCTCCTTCTTAATACTGAAAAATATTCCATGTCCAAATGGGAAAGAATCCATTCACTGTTCTATGCAAACATGCTTTATTGTAGACTAAACTACTGTGAACACAGCTGCAACCTCAACGCAGGACTGAGGGTGAATTGTGACACAGTGACTTCATACCCAGTGTTTGACCTGAACTCAGACTCATGGTTACAGAACAGGGAAGAGGGGGACACAGGGCGACTGCTACCAGGGCCAAAAGCACCACTCACAGGAAGGAATAATTCTGTAGACACAACTGTGCGCTGACTCAGTTCACTACAACCCATGACAGGTTCCACCAATAACTAGAACTGATGTCTCCAGGCCTCCTAACACAGAGTGATGGAAAGGAGGTAGAAATGTGCCTGACATTGAGTTGATCTGTGCCCTTTTCTACAACACACAGATTCCAATAACACACTACACCCCACTACCACGTACAGTGTTCTGTGTTCAGGAACAGTTTTTTTTTTTTTTTTGACAGGCAGTGAGAGAGATGGAGAGACAGAGAGAAAGGTCTTCCTTTGCCATTGGTTCACCCTCCAATGGCCGCCGTGGCCAGTGCACTGCGGCCGGCCCACCGTAGTGATCCGATGGCAGGAGCCAGATGCTTCTCCTGTTCTAGTCATTCTTGGAACCTGTTGTGTGTTGTGGTGAACTGAGTCAGCCCACTGTGGTGTGGGCAGAATTATTCCTGCCTTTGGTGGTGCTTTCTGCCCTGGTATCAGCTGCCCTGTGTTCACTCTTCCCTGTTCTTTTTTTTATTTTTTGACAGGCAGAGTGAACAGTGAGAGAGAGAGACAGAGAGAAAGGTCTTCCTTTGCCGTTGGTTCACCCTCCAATGGCCGTCGCAGCCGGCGCGCAGCGGCCGGCGTACCACGCTGATCCGATGGCAGGAGCCAGGTGCTTCTCCTGGTCTCCCATGGGGTGCAGGGCCCAAGCACTTGGGCCATCCTCCACTGCAGTCCCTGGCCACAGCAGAGAGCTGGCCTGGAAGAGGGGCAACCAGGACAGAATATGGCGCCCCAACCGTGACTAGAACCCGGTGTGCCGGCACCGCAAGGTGGAGGATTAGCCTAGTGAGCCACAGCGCCGGCCACTCTTCCCTGTTCTGTAACCTTGACTCTGAGTTTAGCTCAAGCACTGGGTAGAAGTCACTGTGTCATAATTCACCCGCAGTGCTGCGTTTGGGTAATGCAGCTTTGTTCACAATAGTTCAGTCTACAAAGAACAAGTGTGCATAAAACAGTGAAGGGATTCTTTCACATTTAGACAAAGAATATTATTCAGTATTAAGAAGGAGGTTGTTCTGTCATTAGGAAATGTGGGTCAGCCTGGAGCATACATATTAAAAGAAATGATCCAGGTAGATGTGGACACACAGTATGTGACATTAGTTATACATGCAGTGCACAAGCTTGAACTCACAGAGGTAGGCAGTGCAATGGTGAAAACTGTCTACCATGATCCAAGTCAGGCTCCTGAATTTAGGCTGAGCCATCCCCAGCCTTTGCAGCCATTCAGGAAGTTAACCAGAGGATGGAATTCTCCCTCCATTTGTTAATCTCTTCCTCTCTTGCTATAACACTGTTTGTAAAATAAAATAAATAGATACTTAAAATACATTGAACATTAATTGTATATATGATTAGGAGCCTGTTTCCTAATGTTGAATGATCTCAAGCAACTGAATCCCAAGGGAAGAAATCAATTGTGTACATGCAGTGATGATAAGGTGGAGACAGGAGCAGCACTGGAGTTAGCCTGTGGGATTCTTGCTCCCGTATCAGGATGCTTAGTGCTGTGTCCTAGTTTGGTTCCAGTGTCATATTCCTGCCTGAGCACACTCTGGGAGGCTGTAGGTGAAGTTCCAAGTACTCCCACGTGGGAGCCCTGGACAGAATTCCAAGCACCTGGCTGTCACCTGACCCAGCTAAATCTTTTGTAGCCACTGGGGAAGTGACGCAGGAATTAGAACATCACTGACAGTCTCAGTCTCTCTGTGGTTTTGGACAAATACATAAAGACAAGTTCTCAAATAAAATGATAAATTTTAAAATTTATATAATATCTATAAATTATTAAAAGAAGATATATAGGCAAACATGTAAAATGCTATAAATCTGGGACCATCATGTATGTCCATGTTGGAAGCACAATGAGACATCGCATCGCTCCAGTTAGAATGGCTATTATCAGACATACCAGAGCTGACATGTTTTATGGAGGTAGAGAGAGATGATAACCCTGGTACAAGTCTGTGTCAGGTTAATTAGTAAAACCGTATGGAAAAGCATCAAAAACTAGAAATAGAATTATTACATGATGTTCAAGCACCATTGCATGGTACAATGAATATGAAATCCCAGGGAGGTGTCCACAGGATCTGCAGTCACTGTGCCAAACACCTCTACAGTTCCTTGTTCATTTAAAAGAGTCCATTCAAAAGAGTTCACACATATGATACAGTGACATCTCATGAAAGAAAGAATGGAAAATGAAGAAATGGACAAAGTTACATTTTAAAAGGAGTTTAAAAGCAGTGCAGAGTAAGAAATTCTGTAATTTTGGACAACTTGGATGACCCTGGAGAATAATGTGCCTAGGATAATATGTCAGTAAAAGTACACTCTACTAACCATCCAGGCCAGGAAGACACATAATATGTGATGCTACCTACATGGGATAAAAGGATGAACAATGGCCAGTCATGAAGATTCAGATCTCTGAATACTGGTGTTGTGTTTGCCAATGTTTTATGGAGATGATTAAAAGAGGCAGTGCACTCAGGCTTGGCAGCTGGAACCCAGGAGCTTGGAACTGCATCAGTGTTCCCTCCTTGGTGATGGGGCCTCATAACAGATCCATCATCTACTGTCTTCCAGGGTGCATTGTCAGTACAAGTATGGGAAAGCGTGAAAATGGGCTCCATCCAGCAATGTGATATGCAGCCTGAGTGACTCCCACTGTAATGTTAATGAAAGACTCCAAATGGATTGACATTTGGAGCATAGACATGGAGTAAAGAGCAGGGACTCTGGACACATGATCTCTGGGACTGGCTCTTCCTGCAGCTGTGATTCAGCCTCAGGACACTGGTCATCATGCTGGAGCCACAGACACAGCTCCCCGTGATGTGGACTCCAGCCCCAGAGTGCACAGCCAGTGTGCCCCACTTTCTGCTCTCCCAGAACCACACAGGTGCAGGTGGTCTCACGACACTGGAGCAAACTAGACCAACTGGAAGTGCACACCCAACAATTTCCATTCAGTGATGACCTTGACTGATTATGTCCAGTGCATTTCCATCCTGAGTCCAGGCAGGGAGCCCCACAGGAGGGTCCCAGGACCTAGAGAATGAGGAAGTCCCTGGAGGCTTCCCAGGTGCCTGCAGAAGCTCAGCCTGAGACACAACTGAGCTGCAAGTACATTCCTGAGTGCTGTGACGTTCACACAGGGACCACAGACTGTTTCAGGATTAAAGGAAAATGGAGATCGGGTATAAAGTCTGTTAGAAATGATGCAGAACACTCACAGTTTAAAGTAAGACGGTTGGTTCAGTTCAGCACAGTCGCTCGTTTTGAAAGGCGAGAGATACTTAAATAGCAGATTTTTAAACTCAAACCCTGGCTCAGCTATTGCTGGATTGAAAGGGAAAAGTAAAATTGCCCTAAAGTCGGCAGTGTCCTAAGATCTGTCCTGACTCAGGCTGGACAACACTCACGAGGTCCCCAGATTGTCCCACATCTCTGATACTGGAGACCACTGAACCTAAATTCGTTCATGTAGGACTTCTCCTGTCACATCAGAGAGTCAGTACAGGGTCAGAATCATCAAAGAAGAATTCTTCCCTCAAAACTGTTGCAGGAGAGGAAACCCCAATTCCCTGACAGGAAACCAGGGCTTGGGCTCCTTCTGCACCTGTGCATGACCAGAATCTGCACTCAGTGTGTCTTGTGCGCCCCCTGCAGGGAGGTTTGTGTCTGGGCTCAGCCTGAGGGCCCCTCATGTGTCTCTCACACAGAAATAGGTGGCCATGTCCGCGGCAGTCAGAGTAGTCATTTTCAGAGACACCGTGTTGTCCTTGGTGTTTCTGGACATGGTGAATCGGCCATTCACCCAGCTCGCGTACCATGTGCTACCACTACCAGTCTTAATGTATGCGATCCACTCCAACCCCTTCCCTGGAGCCTGGCGGAACCAGCACATTGCATAGTTGTCACTGAAGATGAATCCGGAGGCTTTGCAGGAGAGTTTCAGGGATCCCCCAGGCTTGAACAGGCCTCCCCTGGACTCCTCCAGCGACTGACACTGGACACCTGCAAACACAGACGACATGGTCAGGAAGCTGTCACTCACACTCTCTGTGTCTCTCACTCACGTCCTCTCCCAGACTTAGTGCCCCGCGTTCCCCATCATTACCTTTGAGCACAGCGACAAGGAGAAGCCAGCGCAGCCCAGTCCCCATGGTGAGCGTCTGTGTTGAGTGCGAGCACTGAGTGGACACCTGGGAGTCCTGGGGCTGGAGCTCCTGTGCCAGAGCTGCAGGGTGAGGGCTGGGCTAGTTTTCATGGGTAGAGGGAGGCCCTATTTGCATGTGCTGCCCCTATATAGCTGGCATGGGGTCCGACGCCTCAGACAGGACAGTGTCCAGGGCAGACATAGTGTCCTGGGTGTGTAGTTGATGGCTGTGATATGATTCAGATCATATGAATTTTTATGTTATCAAAATTTTAAAAAGTTGAAGGCAATGACCTTGTTTCATCTTAATTCAGTGTGTATCCTTAATATCCAGTGTTAGCAATATCATGTCCCTCATTTATTTAAATAACCACTAGTTCCTTATCATCTATATAAAGACATTGGGACAGTGATAGAGAGAGAAGGGGTGAGAAAGACAGAAATGTAGTGATGGACAGAAAAGGTGACAATGGGAGAATTCTGCCTTTGGGTCGAGAATCCCAAACATCCCAAAGTCTGCAACATCTAGGACTTAACCCTTCTAATACCTGAAGCAGAAAAAAGTTTCTGTGTTTCCCAGGTCCCTTGTAGGGGCTCATTTGCTCTTAGCATCATCCACAGTTTCCCATGATGCATTACCAGGAAAAAGTGTGGGAAGCCGTGAGGCTGGGCTCAAGCAGCACTCTGATGGGAACACGGGTGGGGACTTTGCCAATTTTGTCGTAGTGCCTGCTGCCCACTTTTAAACAGATGAAGGACTGCAAGTGGATTCGTTTAAGGTTAACTATATTTTGTTTCTTATTCAACCATTGTATTAGTTTAAAACTGTTCCTGGGCTGGCGCCGCGGCTTACTAGGCTAATCCTCCACCTTGCGGTGCCGGCACACCTGGTTCTAGTTGATCCAGGCGCCGGATTCTGTCCTGGTTGCCCCTCTTCCAGGCCAGCTCTCTGCTGTGGCCAGGGAGTGCAGTGGAGGATGGCCCAAGTGCTTGGGCCCTGCACCCCATGGGAGACCAGGAGAAGCACCTGGCTCCTGCCATCGGATCAGCATGGTGCGCCGGCCGCTGCGCGCCGGCTGCGACGGCCATTGGAGGGTGAACCAACAGCAAAGGAAGACCTTTCTCTCTGTCTCTCTCTCACTGTTCACTCTGCCTGTCAAAAAATAAAAAAAAGAACAGGGAAGAGTGAACACAGGGCAGCTGATACCAGGGCAGAAAGCACCACCAAAGGCAGGAATAATTCTGCCCACACCACAGTGGGCTGACTCAGTTCACCACAACACACAACAGGTTCCAAGAATGACTAGAACTGAGGTCTCCAGGCCTCCCAACAGAGTGATGGGAAGGAGGTGGAAATGTGAATGACAGTGAGTTCATCTGTGCCCATTTCTACCATGCACATTCCAGTAGCACACAAACCCCACTACCATGTACAGTGTTCTGTGTTCAGGAACAGTTTTAAACAGTTTAAACAGTTTTTAAACTTTAAGGCAATGGATGAATAAGGAAAAAACATAGTTAACCTTAAAAAAATCCACTTGAGTATTTCATCTATTTAAAAGCGGGTGACAGGCATTAGGACAAAATTGGCTAAGTCCCCACTAGGGTCACCCGTGTTCCCATCAGAGAACTGACTGAGCCCAGCCTCACGGCTTCCCACACTTTTCCCTCATAATGCATCATGGGAAACTGTAGATGATGCTACAAGCAAATGAACCCCTACCACCGACGTTGGAATTACAGACACAGTTTATTGCTCCAGGGTTCAGAAAGACTAACTCTTAGATGTCATAGGTATTTGGGGTGTCTGGGGCTGTCAACCCAAAGGCATAAATTTCCCATTGTCACCTTTTCTGTCCATCTCTACATTTCTGTATCTCTCACCCCTTCTCTCTCTATCTCTGTCCCAATGTCTTTCATATAGATGATAAGGAACTAATGGTTATTTAAATAAATGAGGGACATGATATTGCTAACACTCGATATGAAGGGTACACACATATTAAAATGAAACAAGGTCATTGCCTTCAAGTTTTTAAAATTATGATAACATAAAAATTCACATGATCTTAATTCTATCATAGCCATCACCCAACACACCAAGAACACAGACAACTTCCCTGGGCCCTGTCCTGTTGAGGCATCTGACCCCATGCCTGCTATATAGGAGCAGCACATGCAAATAGGGCTCCCTCTGCCCATGAAAACCAGCCTAGCCCTCACCCTGCAGCTCTGGCACAGGAGCTCCAGCCCCAGCACTCCCAGGTGTCCACTCAGTGATCGCACTCAACACAGACTCTCACCATGGAGACTGGGCTGCGCTGGCTTCTCCTGGTCGCTGTGCTCAAAGGTAATGATGGAGAACGCGGGGCACTGAGTCTGGGAGAGGACGTGAGTGAGAGACACAGAGAGTGTGCGTGACAGTGTCCTGACCATGTCATCTGTGTTTACAGGTGTCCTTGTAGTAGGCGCAGGAGTCCGGGAGAGGCCCCGTGAAGCCTGGAGGAAGTCTGACACTCACCTGCACAGTCTCTGGATTCTCTCTCAGTAGCAACGACATGAGCTGGGTCCGCCAGGCTCCAGGGAAGGGGCTGGAATACATCGGATACATTAGTAGTGGTGGTAGCACATACTACGCGAGCTGGGTGAATGACCGATTCACCATCTCCAGAGACACCAACGAGAACACGGTCTCTCTGAAAATGACAAGTCTGACTGCCGCAGAAAGGGCCACCTATTTCTGTGTGAGAGACACAGTGAGGGGCCCTAGGGCTGAGCCCAGACACAAACCTCCCTGCAGGGGCGCCCGGAACCACTAGGGGGCGCACAAGATGCGCCGAGCGCAGACTCTGGTCATGCACAGGCACAGAGGGAGATGAATCCCTGGTTCCTGTCAGGGAATTGGGGTTTCCTCTCCTGTAAGAGTTTTGAGGGAAGAATTCTACTTTTTGATTCTGTCCCTCCCAACTTCACTGACGGATTGAAAGTTTGATATAAAAGGAAGAAGTCCTAATTGAACAATTTGGTTCATGGACAGCGACTGTGCTCACCAGGGTCAGAGATGTGGGAATATTGAGGACACTATTGAATCTTTTCCAACCTGACACAGGACAGCACCCTCAGGGCACTGAAAGCTTTGGACAGTTTCAGTTTTCCCTGTATAACCAGGGACAGCTGAGAAAGGGCCGTTGATCTGTTAAACAGCAACTATTCCACTCAGCCCTCTCCTGCCACAACCAGCAAGTGTGCACTGAACCAACCTTTGACTTTACATGTGGGTGATCCACACTCACTTTCTGCAGACTTTAACCCGACCTGCATTTCCCTTTAATCCTGAAACAGTCTGTGGTTCCTGTGTGAATGTCACAGCACTCAGGAATGTACTGCAGCTCAGCTGTGTCTCAGGCTGAGCTTCTGCAGGCACCTGGGAAGCCTACAGGGACTTCCTCATTCTCTAGGTCCTGGGACCCTCCTGGGGGCTCCCTGCCAGAACTCAGGATGGAAATACACTGGACATCAGCAGTCAAGGTCATCACTGAATGGAAATTGTTGGGTGTGCACTTCCAGCTGATCTGGTTCTGCTCCAGTGTCGTGAGACCCCCTGCAAATGCTGTGGTTCAGCAGAGCAGAAAGTGGGACACACAGTGGCTGTGCACTCTGGGGCTGGAGTCCACATCACGGGGAGCTGTGTCTGTGGCTCCAGCATGATGACCAGTGTCCTGAGGCTGAATCACAGCTGCAGGTAGAGCCAGTCCCAGAGACCATTTGTCCAGAGTCCCTGCTCCTCACTTCATGTCTACGCTGACTGGGGTCATCAATCCATTTGTGTTCTCTCATCAGTATTAGAGAGGGAGACACCAAGGCTGCATATCACATTGCTGGACGGAGCCAATTTTCACGCTTTCCCATACTTTTACTGACAATGCACCCTGGAAGACAGGAGATTATGGATCTGTATGAGGCCCCGACACCAAGGTGGGAAAACTGATGCAGTTCCATGCTCCTGGGTTCCAGCCGCCAAGCTTGAGTCCACTGCCTTCATTTATCATCTCCATAAAACATTGGCAAACACAACACCAGTATTCAGAGATCTGAATCTTCATGATTTGCCTCAGTTCACCACAACCAACCACGGGTTCCACGAATAACTAGAACTGAGGCCTCCACGCCTCCCAACACAGAGTGATGGAAAGGAGGTGGAAATGTGCATGACACTGAGTTGATCTGTGCCCATTTCTATGACACACAGATTCCAATAGCACACTACACCCCACTACCATGTACAGTGTTCTGTGTTCAGGAACAGTTTTAAACTAAGGAACTGAATGAATAAGGGAACAAAACATAGTTAACCTTAAAAAATCCACTTTCAGTCTTTCATCTGTTTAAAAGTGTGCAGCAGGCATTAGGACAAAATTGACTAAGTCCCCACTTGGGACACCCCTGTTCCCATCAGATTGTTGCTTGAGCCCATCCTCACAGTTTCCAATACTTTTTCCTGATAATACATCATGGGAAACTGTAGATGACACTACAAGTGAATGAGACCCTCCCACTGATGTGGGACACACAGTTTTCTGCTCCAGGTTTTAGAAAGTCTAACTCCTAGATGTCTCAACATTTATGTTTCTCTCACTCCTTCTCTCTCTGTCACTGTTTCAATGTCATTAGAATAGTTAATAATGAACCAATGGTTATTTTAAAAACAAAGGACATGATACTGCTAACATGGGATATAAAGAGTACAAACATATTAAAATGAAATGAGGTATTGCTTTCAAATGATTAAAAATAATAAAGTAAAATTTGCCTTGATCTGAATCCTATCATAGCCAGAGATCTGCATCTTCATGATTAGCTGTCATTGCCATTTCATATTCATTAATGTTTGATAAATAATATTTAATATAGACATATGAGTTACAATGATATGTGTTGAATAAATGAATGTATACTGAGTGGAATAATGAAGTCAGACTTACTGACATGTTTATCACAAAACCCACGTTTTTCATGGTAGAATGTCATTTGTCCAATGTCTTGGAATTCTGCAGACACTATATTCTCTTTACTGCTGTCAC